TCCCAGCCGCTGCAGACAGCGGCGCCTGAGGGGGGAGGACAGCAGCCGCTGCCCAGGCGCCGCCTCTACCGCGCCTGCAAGAGGCTGGAGATTGGGCCCCTGCGCTACGTCTCCTGGCTCCTGGTCAGCCTGCCGGGGCCCTTGGGGCGGTGGCCCTGGGAGCAGGACGACGAGGGCAGCCTGGGGCCAGGGAAGGACCCCCTTGGGGTGGGGCGGGGGAAGGGTGTCGCCACCGCCCTGTAGAGGGGCCGGGAAGCGGCCTCTGCAGGGGAAGGGGGGCGGCCACAAAGACCCCGGGCCCCTCAGACTCCAGAGACCCATGAGATCTCCAGGGGGTGAGTTTCCAGGGGGTCCGAGCCCCCTCAGCAAGGGGGGAGCAAAGTGGAGGCAGAGAGGGCCTGGAAGGATGCCTCCGCCCTGCCAACAGGCGGGGAGAGGCGGAGTGCCGGACGCTGCCCCTGCCGGCCTTCCCCGTCCAGCTCTGCCACTCCTGGGGGGGGGGGCACTTTCAGGTCCTTTCATTAGAAACGGTCTGCTCAGTTCAGAGACGGGAGGGGGGAAGCTCCCTCCCTCCCCCCCCCACATCCAAAATGCCCTCTGGCTCCCAGCTGTTTGGCAAAGCCCTCCCCACCCCCAGCCACAGCCCAAGAGAACAGGAGGACACACACACAGACCCTCACACGGGATGGCTTCAAAATAGGGGGGGAGGGGGGCATTAACCTCCCCTGCTTGCCCAGACGGGAGTTTGGTTTTGCTTATAACCTTCGGCCTTGAGACTCTCTTGGGCTTTGGACAGTCTGGTGTGCCGACCCTTTGCCAGAAAAGTGCCTCTGCTTTGAGAGACGGAGGAGGAGGTCTCCATGATCTTCTGAGAACGCTTGCTGGGTCCCAAGTTGGCGCAGCGCACACGCACACCTTCAAATAAAGTGCCAAATCTGCTTGTTGTTTAAAATGACCTCCCATTTAGGAGCTTCTAGAGGCCGCCAGAGAGAGCAGGGAGCCCCCTCTTCCTCCGGGGCGGGGGAGGCCTCGTCACCACCTGCAGTTGAGGAAAGCGGAACTGACTGTGCTCAGATGCTGCCTTTTGGGGAAATGCCCACCGGGCCAGGCAACGCCTCCCTCTCTCCCACCGGCTCCCATCCATGTGAACAGACTCTGCGCAGAAGTTGTTGCAGGTCCCCAGAACAGCCCTCCCGCCAAGGGCACCGGTTCTCCCACTGGCTCCGCAGACTCTCTCGCCCCATTGCCCCGAGAGGGGGCTTGGGCTGTGGGGCAAGAGCTGCCCCTGCTGCACCCAACCCGGAGCTCCCACGGGCTCCCCGAGGCAGCTTCCCAAGGCACGAGGAAAGGCTCCTGGGGAGGGGGCACCACTGGGAGCTCACCTGCCCGCTGTGCCTTGGCCACGTGCGCTCCCATCCTCCTTCCCTCCCCCCCCCAGTCCTTGTCCAGGGTCCAACCCAGCCCCCCCCCTCCACAGGGGCAACGGAGACAGAGGCACACACTGCCGGTGGAGGTTTGGCTCTTTTATTAACAGATGAGACCCCGCAGCAGCAGCAGCAGCGGCCGCCACAGAGGGCTGGAGGGTGGAGCAGCTCCCGGCTGGGCTGAGGACAGAGGGGTATATACAAACGCAAGCAAAAATACACAAGAAATCCAATCACCCGGTTGGGGGGGGGCGCACATGGAGGCTCCTACCTCCTCCGTCCGTCCGATCACACCCACTGCCCCAGAGTGGAGCCCCAAAGCCAGCCAGAGCTGGGGAAGGTGGGTGGGTGGGTG